AAGAAGAAGGAGTGTCATCCACTTCCATAATAGCTTGCCTCTGGAAACCCTATGAACCTGGAGAGAGGATGAAAGGCACCCAAGCGTCAAGGACTGTCCTTCATAGGGTTGCTATGAGTCGCCTGCGATTCGACGGCACTTAACAACAACAACAACAACATATGATCAAGAACCAGTGAGTGTAAAGGAAGAAGTTCAAACTGCACAGAAGACCATGGCAAAACAAAAACAAAAACTAAGGCCCTAAGAATAGATGGGGTACCAACTGACATGTTTCAATGAACAGATATAACGTTGGACATGCTTACCTGTAAATGCCAGAAAATTTGGAGGAGAGCTGCCTGAATGAGTGACTGTAAGAGGTCCATATTTGACCAATTCCCAAAGATATGGTTATGATCCAAAAGAATGTGAACATATAAAAATAATATCATTAGTATAAAATATGAGCAAAATATTGCTGAAGATCACCCAAAGCGTAGAACAAAAGCTACAAAGGTACATTGATAGAAAACTAAAAACTAGCAGAAATTCAAGCTAGATTTAGAAGAGGCCATGGCACTAGAGACGTCATTTTGATATCATAAATGAGTAGTTGGAGAGCTGGTTGTTGAGTTGAATACAGTTCACAGTGCCCTATGAACAACATATCTGAATCCTATCCCATTGTGTACCATCTTCACCATCCCTGACATCCTTGAGACCATTGCTGCAGTCACTGTGTCAATGAACCTGGCTCAAGGTCTTCTTTACTTTCACCATCCCTTCACCTTTTCAAACATGATGTCCCTCTCCAAAGAATAACATCTCCTAGTAGCATGTCCAAAGTAGGTGAGATGAAGATTTATCTTTTTTTTACTCCATAAAGCACTTCGGTTGCACTTTATCCAAAACATATCTGCTTGTTCTTTTGGCAATTCTTCTTCTGTCATCCTTATTCATTGTCCAGCTCTCAGATGCATAGCAACCTACTGAAATGACTTTGGACTGAATCAGGCACACCTTAATCCTCAAACTGACATCACTGCCATAAAAAATGTGAAAAGGTCCCTTACTACACACTATTCCCAGTGTCATATATCCTTAATCTCCTCACTGGTGGTAACAACACATTAATTATGGATTCTAATAAGATGAAGTCATGGAAAGTTTCAATATTTTTTCCATCTCTGTTACTATATCTGAGCCTCTGGTGGCCTAGTAGTAAGAAGCTGTGTTGAAATACTAACAGCATGTGGTTCTAATCCATTAACTGCTCTGTGGGAAAAAGATGGGCAGTCTCGGTCCATTACTGTCTCTGAGAACTTGCTGAGGTCAGCTATGAGTCAGTTTTGACTCCACAGCACACACCACCAACAGTTGGTGGGGAGAGTAAGGAATATTTCATGAATTTTCAAAAAAACAAATAGGTATGTCTTGGAGAAAGAATAGCTAGAGTGCTCCGTGGAGGAAAAGATTGCAAAACTTCTCACATCCTTTGGGAATGTTGTTGGAGAGACTATTCATTGAAGAGGGACATTATGCTCAGAAAGTTGGAGGTTCAATGAAAGAGAGTAAAACACTTAACTAGATGGATTGACACAGTGACTGTAGTAATAGGCTCAAGTGTGTCAGAAATTATGAGGAAGTGATACAAGAGATCAGGGTGTTGATTTGTTGTTCATAGGGTCACTATGAATCCTATTTGACTCAAAGGAACCTAACAATTTAATATCTCCACCCAGATGGGCAATAAGCATCACAAATATATCATTTATAACAATGCTAGCTGGTATATCTTTCTTACATCTTGTTGCTCTCAAGTTATTATCAACGAAGTAGAGACCAATTTAAAACACAGCTGAACCTTCATCAATTTCTCTCTTTAAAATTCTTCAAAGGCTCATATTTTTTTTGTAGAGAACAATTCTTCATATAGATATATGAGTCACTAGATTATCTTATAGCAACTAAAATTACTATATCATGCTCATAGATTCCTAAAACAACTCAGATCATTGTTTTCAAGTCATAACTGACTCAGAGTTGACCTCCAGCAGATTTTCAGAGTCTACAAATCCCAGGAGAGGAGATTGCCCATCTTTCTTCTGAGGAGCAGCAAGTGAATTAAAACTATGTACTATGAGTTGACAGTGTGATTCTTTACCTGCTAGGTGACCATGTGTAAGAAGAAAATATAACAAAACCAAACTCATTGCCATTGAATTAATTCTTACTGATAGTGTATATACAGAACTGAATTTAATTGCCCCCAGAGTTTCCAAGACTATAAATACTTAGAGAAACAGGCTATCTCATCTCTCTTTCATGAAGCAGCTAGTGAATTACAAGGTCCAGACATGCATTTTAACCACTACACTACCAGGGTTCTTGGAAGAAGAAAAAGGAAAATTTCCAGGAGGAAATGAGGTTTAGATGATGGGTTGAATTTCTACCAAGAAAAAAATAAAAATAAATGAAAAAGATGAAAAGTGGTTTGTAATTTAGCAAAACCAGGATGTTGTTGTTCATAATCTTATTTCAGATACCAAGAGGTAAAGATGCATGCTAGACAATCCCAATCTCCACTTCATAAGGCTGACTTAAAACCCTAAAGGCTGTAGAAAGTGCCAATCAGTAAAACTTGTATCTCCACAGAGTTGATGGGAGAGACATCAAAATTATAGGTCAACAACATACTTTTGGGTTTAAGCTGGACAAACTTTTTCCATATTAGAGCAAAGGACATTGTTTGGAAACTTGGAGGCCCAGCACAAACCCTGACAAATTGGATCAATCTCACTAATTTGTCAATTTATATTTCAGCTCCAACTGAGTAAAAGTCTAAAGTCGTTTATTCTTCCCATTTCTTTTCTAAGAAGAATCTCTAT